TAATTCATATTTTATATTGTGAAACAAAGATCAAATTGTAAGGTTATTCACGCATTTATTATATAGTCATTATAGTATTAAATTTGTAGTAATATATATGGCGTGCTTGTATAGTCGAATATAACCTAGTCTCCGAAATTACTCTTTCAATTCAGTATGCGATATAGATTGCCGTAATAATATTTGGTGGTTGTAATTGCAATTTATTACTATTACGAGTTGAAAATAACGTGTAGGGAATATCTTTACTTAAGGATAAAGAAGAGGATGTATTGCTCGTACAGTCATATTTCAAGTTAAAACTAATGCGAATCGTAGTGCATCTCACAATCGGTAAGAAATAAATAACTTTGATCGAGTTTAAAGATATTGGCAAAGATCTTCGTTTACATGTCTATCGTATTGAAACACACATTCCATTGACTTAACGCATAAGTTCTTCGATAATAGAAACTACTGTTAATTAAACGGATATTTTTACAGAGAGCTGTTTTTTTTAAATTATATTCGCATATGGTCCTGGAAAGCACTTTTCCGTTTCTGTTTTCGGTCCCTAGAATTACCCATACTATGAAATATATATGATAATCAACATTTTATTCTAAAATAAAATTGAAATAAAATTTAGTTTTTATTGAAATTGAGTACCGTTAGACGTATGTGTATTTATTTACTTCAATTTTTGTTCAAGTTTATTTGCGAATTTACAGGCGAGAAAGATAAGCTTATTGCTTTAAAGAATGAACTGGAAACGAAAAGAGAACTCAACAAAGAAATCTCTTCTGCCAAGTACGCTTCATCGGCCAAATCTTCCAAAAGACCTCGTACTTCAATAAACACAGGTATTTGTAATATCTAAATAATGTTAGTGTAGGTCGTAGTGTGTTTACATTCATCCACGAGGCTACATATTTACAGGACATAAAAAAACAGATCTCTCTACGAAGGTACAGAGAAAAGAACTACGTTTCAATCGCGCAAACGATAGATATGCACGTACGTATATTTTACGAAGATGATTTGCTACTCGAATAAAAACTATTTATTAAATTTTGTATTTTTATAGAGAAACTCTATAGTTTATTAAAATCGAGTTTCTTACAGCAATTGTTGAAATCGATTTGCTAAAGGTTTTGACAAAGACGCCAATTTTTCTCGAAAATGATTCAATTCGTTCCTTTTTCACTGAGAGTGTTTGTTCGTTGGGGATTTTGCCATTGAATATGGCTAAAATTGAGCTTGAAAAAGCTAAAGCGATCGCATTGTTTATTATCCAGCAGCGGATAATAAACAAATTGGACAAAACGTTAATCTTACGTGCTCAAACAAGTCAAGTCTTGCAATCCAAAGTGTGTGTTTGTCGGAGATATTGCCATCAAATACAACTGATTCAGAGCTCAATGAAGCTGAAGCGATCGAATTGCTTTCAGAAGAGAAAACAAACTAACTGGTACGAGTGTCGATTATACATGTTCCAACGAGCCACAGCTAGCAGCACAAAGTAAAAGTGAGCACACTTTCTGAAAATTTACTCTATTTTGATATTCGATGTCCTTTTTTAGAGAACACTGTAATAGACATTGTCGTGGGAATAATGCAGAGTAATAGCGTAGGAAGTGGTGCAGCCCCACATCAGACTTGCATCCGATATCTTTTTCTCTCGTGTTATATTGCAAGTTATATGATAAAATCTTATTATGGCTGAATAAAACGTTCCTAAGAAACTTTTTATTGATACGTTTTGGGGTTACCCTATAAAGTTTCTAAATTTTTTAATAAAATTACTTCATTGACAATCTCGCTTCTGTTCCTTAGATCTAAATATAGATTTATGTTAAGCAGTATGACGATTTACAATACTTCAATAACTGCATGGTGAAAAGCGTTTTTTTTTTTGTATTTCAGTTAACGGTGAAGAATTTATTCTTTCAATATTATTTTTAAAAAAATGACAACGAATACTGCAGGATCACCTTTATAAATATTGCGTTTGATCATAGTAACTAATTTATTGAAATCGAATAAATTTCAGGAAATGATGATGTCTTTTCTCCGGAGCTTCTTTCGCAGACAACCTATTTCTCTTGAAAACATTGGAACCCTTTGCTTTGTCGAGGAAATTGTTCATTTATCGAAAACATTGCCGGCAAATAATGCGAGTGAAGAGTCCAGTCAGACTGAAGAGTGCGAAATGTTTCCGGCAACTGATAACAACACACTAACCTATTCGTTGATCAGATGTCCTCAAATACCACATTAAAAACTATGCCAACAAAACTTTCTGCAAGTGTTTCGCAACACTCTGATGCATTTAAAAACTTGGCTATTCTAAGCATCACTCCGACTTCTCTAACAAATTTAACAGTTTCTGAGGAAGGTTCGTATAAAGTAATATAGATTTAAATAAATAAAGCATTCTTCATCAACTGATATTATTCGGAGTGTTATTCTAGTTTTGTACGATTATCAAAAGTATATGTAACATTTTTAGAATAAAATACAAAAAGTCGCTTTTGCGCTTGCTCTAAGATAAAATAGATAATATAATTAAAGTTAAATTTATTAACGCTTTTTGCGACTAAAACTTTTTACCTTTTGTTTTGTGCACATTTTTTATTGCTTGGCGAAAGTAAATATGTGGAAAGATGACTTTTCGTTGTCGAATTTAGATAAAGTGTACGTAAAATAAATCTGAAAGATGTTATAATTAAATGAATATAAAGTGGCCCAGTTGATGACAATTGCAGCGTGTGAAGAATTTATGAATATGTATTTAACTTTTGGTTTGTTTTTTTGCAGATAACAGTGCCGATTTTAATAATAGCGTATGAGATTGGGACGATATTGCGTTTAATGTTTATAAATCTGTGCTTCCATAACAAAAACAAAATAATGACGTTGACGAAAAAAGAGACACAGAGCTTCCGATTCCAAATTGTCGTACAAGCGAAGGTTAGATGTCTGTTTGAGATCGCAAACTTAGCATCGCGACAAAGTCGCGTTCGGCTGCATGTCAGCACATGCACGCTTGCAGTACGATCTAATATTTTATGAAGTGAAAGTGACTAATGTTCGCGAAAAATGTCGCATATAAGAATTGTCACGGAAATATTCAGTATAGCATGGATCTTTCGGGATTAGCTTTCTAGAAACTTTAACATTGTTATCGATAATAAAGTCAAACAACAACGCTAGAACAAAGGAACGATCCATGCTATACACAAAGCACTCGAAAACAGGTGACGACCCCGTCGGGTCACCACGTGAAATCGGTGACGTCGGCTCCATGACGCAGGACTCCGACGGCCAATCACCCTCCCGAAATTCTGGGAAATCTGCAGGGAGGGAGTTTTGCCTCGGAGGTGTTAAAAGGACCGTCGCCGCGCCGCGGAACCGATTTCGCTCGCAGATCATAGAAAACCCGCTTTCGCACTCCGCTTTGCACACCGCTGTTCCGCGTTTTGAACGTTTTCGCCGTATCGCTAGCCGTAGCTTCTGTGCGCGCTCCACGGCTTTCTTGGAAAAAGGGAAAGAACTGTAAATACTTGTACATATTAGACATTATTAAATATATTTGTTTATTTTGCAATTCGGTACTTGTTCCTTGCTTTTGTGGTCGTCTCGTTACCTCGCGCTATCTCGCGCAACCGCGTGCTCTCGAACAATGTCCAATCTGTAATATTTTTTATTTCACAACGCTTTTGAACAACTTCTTCTTTATATTGTAGATGCTAATCGATTGATTAGCGAGGTCCCTAACAAGCCCAATCTTTCTGATAAGGAGAACGACAGTCGCAGCTCTGTCGTCTCTAATAACTCCAGCGATTTTTCGTACGTGCCTGATTTTGAGAGTTCGAATGGTAGCATAGGACAAAAAGAACAGAATAATACCGATATTAATAATGTTTCTACGACATCTCAAAACATATCGACGGATTTGGATGCTTCTTTTACAGTCAATAAAGTTGAACCAGCGCACCAGACGACGTGGAAATGTTTGTAAAAAGCGCTGAATCTGGAATTAAAAAGAATTTTTGTGTTTTCTGCAAGGCGGAACAAGGAAAGTTAAGCCGACATGTTATCCGTAAGCACAAGGATGAAGAGGAGGAAGTTCAATTTTTGAGCTTCGAGAAAGGATCTAACAAACGGAAGAAAATAATGGAAAAAATTCGAAAACGTGGACAATTCTATTTTAATACGAATAGAGCTATTAATACTGGAGAACGAATAGTTACGCGGAGGCCGAATGCCAAGTATAAAAAACTTGCTACAGATTTCGTGACGTGTTCATCATGCCTTGCTGATTATGCAAAAACTTCTCTTCGACACTTGGAATGATTTAGCTGCCAGTAGCCTCATTTCTATTCGGCTGTTCAACAGACGTCGAGCAGGCGAAATTGAACGGTATAACTTTCCCCAGATTGTGAATTGCACGTATTTTTGAGCTGCTTTCTGAAAATCTTTAATTAATATCCGTTTGATTTCGCCTGGTCGACGTCTGTTGAACAGCTGAATACCGAACAAATACGGGTTGTTTTTATTTACGTTTGCCAAATGCCTGTTTTTTAAAAGAAGTTCTAAGCACATTAGAAGTTCCCTGTGCAATAACACTGGTACTGTACGGTTCAACTTTCCCCGGATTGTGAATCGTACGTATTTTTGTGCTGCTTTCTTTTCTTCAATTGAAAATTTGGTATAAGCTTCGCCAATTGTGTCTTCGTCGATTTTTTGATAATTTTTAAAATTAATTAATATCCGTTTGATTTCGCCTGCTCGACGTCTGTTGAATAGCTGAATAGAAATCAGACTACTGGCAGCTAAATCATTTCAAGCCTTCGAAAAATGTTCTTTTAAAGCTTCATAATTTTTTCTTAATTTGTCGCTGAGATACACTTGTAGTTTCTGAATATCATTTATCGACGGAAAAACTATAATCAATTACCTTTTTTACGGGTTTGAGTTTCTAAAGCGATGCTAATTCAGCATTATTCAGTTTTTAACTGGAATAATGCAACAATTAAAACATGTAACAAAATTTAAAAAAACGGAAATATGTAGAAAAAATATATGTGACAAATCTGTATGTTGAATTTACATTATAAATGTAAAAATATAAAAAAAAATTAGTCTAAATTATTGTATTTTACCCTGCGTTGTGAAAC